ACAATGTTGCAAAGAACGTTTTTTTATATTCTTATTTTTATAATCCGCACGCATATGCATTTGTACATCTACTACCGCGCGTTGCAATAATGCAGTATTTACATCATTTGTAATTAAATTATTTCGTTTTTCACACCATAATTTTATAGTTTTTAATAAAATCACACGTATAATTATTTTATAAATTACATTACGCGAATGTTCTGTACAATTGTGCCAATTTATATNAATATTCCAATTTTCGAAAAAATTTAACAATATTTTTGAAATATTACTTCTATATGCTCTAGTTTTCAGCAATTTATTACTAAAACGCATTATTTTTCTTTGGCAAACTGGAAATTCACTACTTTTAAAACTATTTTCACAATCACTACAAAAATTTACTTCTTTAAGTATTAATTTAATAATTTCGTCTTTACTATCTAATGAAGACGCGATAATAATTTCATCTGAAATTGTTTGTTCTAAAATAAGTTCGGACGGTTCATCGGTATATTCATTAACATTTATATTAACGTTACTTTCTANATATTGTTCTAAAGAAAAAAATATAGAATTATCTTCCGAAATTTCACAATTACCGCGTGTAACTGAAATCGTTCGAAAATTACTTACAAGCAATGTAAAAAATGATTCTTCGAATTGTTTTGGCGTTGGATTAATATTACGTACGGCATGGCNTCTTACTTGCCCGAAAAAATTTTCTAAAGGATCTTGATTACAAAATCGCGGATTGAATATATGAAAGCCATACTCATCACGAAGAGTTTTTCAAAGTATTTGGAAGCCATCGATCGTGAATGACCAGTTAACCAAAGAAGGTACAGATTTTACAACATTACAAGATACTTTTTCTATAAATTTCATTTTATGTAAAACACTCTTTGCACTCACCCAAAAGTTATGGTGTTTACTGTCTTCTGTCACTGGACATCTCAGTTCATTAATTTCGTCGTTTTTCCTGTTGTCTCCATTTACCGAATCAAATAAATCGTTGAAAAAATTTACAGCTTCCATTGTAGCTAGTCCTTCTTCCTCATTTATGAAGACATTTTCATCATTTATTGTTAACACCACTGTAAAATATGCAATATGCATTTATATAATCATTATATATATATTACAATAGACATTTACATAACCATCATTTAATAAAATCATTTAATAAATTGCATTATAAAATAACATATTTAATATTCTTATATNTCAATATTAAAGTTTTATCTTTATATTTAAAATTTTTACTATAAAAAAAAATCCGTAATATATTGAAATAAACTCAAAACTTTCTTTATTTGTATAATATGAATACTTACATTTTGATCTCGTAAACATTTCAATTGTGCTAGCCATTGTTCCACTCAACACTTGCGCTGCGTACTTAACTCGCATCTTCTTAATTTTATCCTCTATTATATGCGTAGGCGTAATTTTCCTCAAATGTGGTCGGGTTATATTCAAATGTTTGTCCATAATCCACGCTGTTTTAATTACATCCCACGATGCTATTTTTTCCATATTCTTCTCCAAAGCCAAATTTTTTGTCAATAAATTGTTCCTAATTCCTTTGATTAAATGTGGAGGATCAAACAACGGGATTATCTCCTTGCTCTCTACTTCAAAACTTTGACCTAAACAAATAAAGTAAAATTAAATAAGAAATATAAATA